GCTCTTTTGTCTCTTTTTAATTGGGGATACTGTGGTGGGACCCTGACTCATGGAGCTCAATGTGAGCTTTGTCACTTATGTGGAAGAGCGCACAGGGAGTGCTCTGCAGGGATATATTTCATAGTACGTGTCTGCTGTTATCAGAAGTTTGGTCACTGAAATCCCATGCCACGTGTACTCAATGCCCTATATCCTTCTGAAAACAGCCCACTCCAAACAGATGGTGGAGACTGATAGTCTATCTCCCTGAAAAGAAGGCAGCTTATCTCCTTGCAAATATTCCTCTATAGGAAGGTGAAAGTATGTCACGAGGAAATTAAATACCTTTTTCAGAAAGAAGCTGAAAATTGTCTATTCAGTTATTTGAGCTACGCTGAGTAACTGCTTTTTATGCTAGGTAGTTAAAAATGTAAAGTAAGCACCTTGATTTTAGCAGCTTCCAGGGCTTTTTTGCCATCCCATGCCCAACTCCTCTTGGTGAAATAGTTGACTGTTGCAAATTCAATCAATGCAGAAAATACAAAGGCATAGCAGACAGCTATAAACCAGTCCATCGCAGTAGCATAGGCCACTTTTGGCAAAGAGTTACGGGCACTGATACTTAAGGTGGTCATGGTGAGGACTGTTGTTACTCCTGTAAAGGAGGAAAAAAACAAAAGAGGCAGAGATCAGTTTGGTAGCACTGACAAGATCCCTAACGAGTTCTGAGCAGGCCCCCATTCAGCATGATACCTAAGAAGGACACATGAAGTCAGTCAGTATTTGTGTATTATAGTCCAAAAGAAAAAACACAAGCCTCTGCCCTCAGGTGTTTACTTCTGTGGTGTTCTGGTTATAGTTTATCTAAATAAGTATTTTTAAGGGTAACACAAACACAGCTGTTACATAAACCAAAACCTTACTGGCATTTTATCCCTGTACTAATGCATGGTATGTAGAGAGTATCCCTCACTAAGTGCTACATTATAAAATCAGAGAGCAACCCATTTAGCAGTAACTTGCATAATAAAGTGGGATTATGGATTTTATTTTATAACATACAGATTTTATGTATTTAATTGTTGGCTGTTATTGATTTCCTTGACTGCAGCTCCTCCTTTCCCATAGGCCAGTAAATTACAGAGCTGCCACTGCTTTCATTTGTAGAAGGATGTCCCCAATAGGACAAAATTCAACTCTCAGGTACAGCTTTGTAAATCTAGAATGGGTACCACCGGTCAGCAAAGCGATCCTGGTACCTGTATTCTCCCCATACAGCTTGCTGAACTGATCTTTGATCAAAGCTGCCAACTTCAATTTCAGTATGTTTGTACAGAAAAATTACTGTTTTAAGAACAGCTGAATTAAGTTTTATGCAATAAACTGTTCCTGCTCCCCTAATTTTCATCTAGTGAAATTTTTTTATTTCATCAACCTTCACTTAAGAGTGTGTTTATTTTCTGCAATCTTCTAGTGACAAATTGAGTAATTTAAGAGATCCCGAAGGGTTTTTCCATTACAACTTCTGTGGTAAATATATGTTTTCTAAATGCAAAATCATATTAATTTGTTTTATGGTAATAGACATAATTGTCAATAATTAAACTCCACATTAACCTCCCAGATAAACATCTTAAAATAGAGATAAACAAAATGTCTTGAAGTGAAATCTGTTTCAAATACTTAGCTGGAGTATACGCTAAATACGATAATATATATGGGTTTTTTTCCTAAATTATCCAGTTTATCCAAGTGGAAAAAAACCCCACAAATCCCACAAATCTGATTCTTCTGTCTTTTGTCCTTAACCTTCATATAACTGATTCTTGAGCAATTTCTGTCGTAACTTTACAAAAAAAACCAAACCCCCAGACAGTGTTTTTAAATGGATTTTGAGTTTAAACTGGAAGAGAACAAGGGAACATTTAGAACACCTCAAGCAGAAATAAGCATTAGTGCACTGTGCTTTTGTTACAGCAAATCACTTCCACAAGCCAGACCAATACTTCCCACATGCTGGGAGAAAATGGGATACTCACCAAAGACAGTCCTAGCAGGGACAGATTCTCTGTTTAGCCAAAACGACACTTGGGATAAGATCACAGTCATAATGCAAGGAAGGTACGTCTGGATGACAAAATAACCAATTTTTCTTTTCAGATGAAAGTGGGCTGTCATAATAGTATATTCACCTAGAAGGAGAAAAAACGTCCATGTGGGTAAAATAAGGAAGGCCTTAAGCAGGATAGCTCCACACACACCCTCACCCCCCGCCCTCCCCCACCCCCCATTTGAGGATACCGTTCAGCCATTCTTAATTGCATGAAAAATGTCTGGATGTCTGCACTGTGGAAAACCAGTACTTGAGACAGAGGTGCTGCTAGATCCGGCTAGTCTTCACATTCAGTCCCCAAAAGCACAAGACGACAACTGACTTCATCTACTGCACTGAAAAGCTGCAGCCCTCCTGTGCATCTGGGATGTCTCGATGATCACAGGCTTAAAAAATCTGGGTGGTTGTCACTGCCTCAGTCCTGTCTGGTTTTGACCCAGTCCTACAAACTGTTTTTCCAGAGTTATAATTAACCAGAGTTTCTACTCTTAAAAACCTGATTTAGCAGCAGGGCTTAACACCACTGGGGCAATTGTTACTGCCAAACCATCAGCTTTCAAGACCAAGAGCGGGTCCAGACACTCCTTCTGCACCGCACTTTAGGAAATGCCTGTCCCAGTGTCAGTGCTGCAAGCATTGCAGTTTTGTACATGGATCCTGGGAGGTCTTCTTGAACTCAGTACCCAAACCCACCAAATTACTCCCCCAGAAAACAAAATCCCTCTAGTGCATGCAGTTTTCCTAGAATTTGGTGCACCTTAGCCCTTAGAAATACTATCTGTTGCTGGATAGACAATGTGCCACGTCTTGTTCACTTGTGCAATTAGTATGGTACTGCCTGCATGGAGAATTCACTGAAAGCTGCCACTGCAGTGCTAAATTCCGTGTCTTTTCATGTTCTCTAAATTTCAAAAAAAGCCTAAAAAAATGCACTCCAAAATCGACAGGCCAGCTGTCACCTTCCCTAAAAAACTTAAATGATTCTTTCAGACTGTTCCTGTAAAGCCATATAGTTGTTACTGAAGGCTGTTCATTGATGGTAACTGCTTCCCAAAGCCAAAATCTTGCTATCTATAAACAGGCTACTATTTGCCTAGGAAAAAAAAGAGTAAAATCAAAACGTAAGAATAAAAAACAATCAATCCCTTCAAGCCCTAACAGATCTCCACTCACATTGATATCAAATTAATTTAAAAGCATGCATCATTCAGCTGGATACTGTTGAATCAGAGTAATGCCTGATCTGAAAGATACATTTTCCTCCAATAATAAAACAAATATAGCTATAATCTCTGTTGCAAGACTTGACTGCTAGTCTCTATAGACCAGCCACAAAAGGAAAATGTTTAACAGACTGATTCTGCCTTGAGTGAACAGCCCGAGTTGAGCTGCAGCCAGCATTGCTAAGCAGTTAGATTTGGCAGATTATTTCTAAGTGACAATTTGTCTAATTAGCAGACAACAGGTCTACAGTGAGAGGGCTTTTGCAGGTATAGCTGCATGGATACATTATGCTAGAAGAGCTCCGTCATTCTGTATGAAATTTACAGACCTTCTTCATGCTCAGGATTTTAGACAGAAAGGCTGGAATAGCACAGAAATACCTTATCTGACAGCCTGTCTGAATCTTTATGACTTTCTTCTGGAGCCTGAATTTCTGGTGAAATGGTTCCCTAAAGAGGGATGTGGAAATGGACAGGGAATGCTGTGAAACTGGGGAGAAAAATCCCTGTGAAGTGACATCTAATTCCCTTCCATTTGGTGTAATTTTGAACCAGGGATGCTGAACATGCTGTGGTCTCAGGAGGAACCCCACTTGCTCTTTATTTAGGACCATTCAGTTTGTGGATTACCCATAAAATATGCCAGGAGCAGCAGGCTCTATGTGCCTGCAATCTGTTTCTGAGTTGCTGCTGCACTGGGATGTGTTTGAGTCACAGTTTCCCTGCTCGGTGACTATGTGCATTATTGATTTTGATAGTATGCTTTCAGAGCTGGAATAAAAAAAAAATCTACATAGCTTCAGCAGAGCAATAGGACCCCTTTTTTTCCTTTTTAAAATGTGGAAAATGAATGCCTACATTTTCATGGCCCTCCACAGCTGATTTTTACCTTAGCATTTTCTTTAATCTATCAAAGCTCTTGTCTCCACTAAAATACTGGTATCACCTTGACTTTGTACTTGCTCTTCTTCCAACTGATATCTTCTCTAGTTTCTCATGCTGTCCCTTTCAAAAATGCCTATGCTAGGAATGCTTCCTCCAGCAGACTTGGGCTTAAGAAAAGCCCATAGCTTGTTTTTTAATGCCCTGGGACCACTGCTTAAAGTAAAGCTAAAAGCTGCCTGAGTTGGCCTTTTGTTTATATAGGACAAAATCCTGGCTCTCTTGGAATGGCAAAGCTCCCATTTACTTCTGTAAGGCCATTGTTTATCTTTATACCGTAAGCTTTCTCGAGCAAGAGCTAATTTTTGTTATAGGTTTATGTAGCACTTAAAAGAGAATCCTATTCCTGATGGGGTCCACTCATCACTGCACAAAACCATT